CACACACACACACACACACACACACACACACACACACACACACACACACACACACACACACACACACACACACCACACACTGACACCGCACCCACGCGCACTGGGCCTTGCACTTTGAATGCCGTGGGGCTCCTGTCGTCAGACGTGGAGACGCGAGGGTTGGCCTTGCCCCCCTAGCCTTGCCCCACCACCTCGTGTGTGTGGAGAAGTTTACCTTACTTACCTTACCTTACCTGAGACGCACGAGTCAAATCACGAACGTGAGAGAGCGCTGCGCGCGTGCGGCACTGGCCCACTGACGACTGCGCGGAGAGTCCGGAGAGAGACCGTGGAGTAAGGCACCCGTAAAATATTGAATATCTTGCTCCAATAGTTAGAGATGCGATCAATATCAATGTATATGGCAATAGTTAGAGGAGAGGCTGGGCCTGGGCTGGTCAGGACTCTGGGCGGAGGCGGGGGCCCCCGGAGGCACCGACCACCCCCGGAGGCACCGACCACCGTGCGCCGCGCCGCAGTGCGGAAACGGGGCTCCGGCGCTCAGAGTCGCTCAGAGCACCGACTTCCCGAATGATTACGGTTGATTAGAGGGCAGATTTGGAGAGATCTCGAGGAGTACATACAGATAACCCCTCTAACCATCAGAAAACTCCGACCTGATCGGTCGTACTGACCGCCGACAGATCACTGCAGACAGCCTCGAACTCGCGATTTTTTCGATTTCAGCCCACATCTAGGCAATGTTTGGGACAAATCAGCGATCAATATGTCAATATATTGTCAATAGCTAGAGGGGATGCTGTCAATAATCAATATCAATAGTTACAGGGGCGAGAATCAATCTTTTACGGGTGCCTTACCGTGGAGTCCCAGAGAGTGGCCTCCGGCCCTCCGCCCTCCCAGTCCGGAGAGCGGAGTAAACGCCTGCGGAGCGAGGGGGCGGACGGCGCGCGCGGCGCCCGACACGCTCGAGAGCTTTTTTTAATTTTATCATGCGCTGTCTGCTGAATGCACCGCGCTCCACACCCCGTCACACGAGAGTCACGTACAGAGAGCCGCGGGAGCGACTAGAGAAAAGGTCACACACGACGCGTGAGGACGGCCCACCGCCCCGCCCTCAAGTACAAGAGCACGCCACGACACACCGGGCGGCGCGCCGCACGCGGCTGGGGAGGGGGAGGGGGTGGCGTGGAGAGGAGAGGGCAGGAGTGGGCCTGAGGAGGCCCGCGTAGGGAGGAGCTCTGCGAGGGGGGGGGGGGCTAGGAAAGGAGGCGGCCTAAACCCCGGCAGAAGGAGGAGCGAGGGGAGGAGCGCGGCGGAAGCAGGGACCGAGACCGGGCGGGGGTGGAGTTCCCGAGAAGGACAGGCACAGCCCGCGGTGCTGCCGCCGCCCCTCAGCTTGCTCTCTCGGGCAGCACGACGCGCATGCCCGCGATCTCGGAGAGGACATGCTCGAGGTCCGCCTGCAGCGCGGTGACGGCACTGAGAGGGGGTGTGGGGGGGGGTGAAAATGAAAACAGCCGCTCGTACAGGCCCACCTTTGTCTTTGCGTTTGTCGGCTCGAGGTCCCACGCCTTGGAGTAGGCCGTCTTGGCCGCCTGGGGAAGGGAGAGGGGGGGAAGGGAGAGGGGGGGGGGGGGGGGCTGGAAGGGGGGGAAAGGGGGGTTCCCCCCTCTGCGACGGCTGTTGACGATGCGGTGTGGTGCCTGAAGCTGCCTGGCTGGGACAAGGCGCGACTGGCACACGGGTGGGGGACTAAAGCCCTCGGCCGGGGCCTGCAGGTCGCCCAAGTGGAACTTTGCGGCGGCCCGGCGCGAGTAGCCCTTGGCCCAGGTCGGCTGCAGCCGCACGCACTCGTCGGCGTCCTCGAGCGCCTTCTCGTACAGCTGCATCGCCTGTTCACAGCCGGAGGTGTGAAGAGACGCTGTTCACGCGCAGAGCGCCATCTCGTACAGCTGCATCGCCGTGTACGCGACGGAGCGGTTCGAGAAGAAGACCTGGCCAGGGGGGGATTGAGGGGTCGGGGGGAGATCGGGGGAGATCAGGGGGCGTGCTCGCACAGCTGAGCAACGTGCCAGAGGAGGAGGGCAGGAGGGTGGCAAGAGGAGGGCAGGAGGAGGGCGAGAGGAGGAGGCCTGGTTGGTCGAGTCGAGTCGGATCGCCGACGTGAGGTCCTCGACTGCCTTCTCGTAGTCCTGACCCTTGAAGGCCTCCGTGGCCGCGTCTTTGAGCGCGAGACTCTCCGCAATCTCGACGCGCCGCAGCTCCTCCTTGACCTGGCCACCCACCAGCAACCGGTAATGAAGAAACTGGCCATCACGCAGTGAACTCCCTGCTTAACCCATGCATCACTCCTCAACCATGTATGAGCCATCGCTCATCCACCACCACCCACTTCCCGCCGCAGCCTCGGGAGGGGAGGGGAGGGGGGGAGGGGAGGGGAGGGGGGGAGGGGAGGGGAGGGGAGGGGGGAGGGGGAGGGGGGAGGGGAGGGTGGGGGGGGGGGTGCTGCTGCTGCTCCACACACCTGCGAGTTCTCCGGCTCGAGGTCAATATATTATAATTAATTAATTAATTAAATTAATTAATTACACCTGCGAGTTCTCCGGCTCGAGGTCGAGGCCTAAGCAGCGCCCAGAGACATCGTTTGAGGGGCGGCCACACGCCACACCGAGAGACCACTCTCCGCGCGGGAAAGAGGGGCACAAGCCTCGCATGCACGCGTCCCGCGCCGCCTGCAGGTCGCCCATGCTCAGGAACGCCGCCGCCTGCCGCGAGTAGCCCTTGGCCCAGGTCGGCTGCAGCCGCACGCACTCGTTCGCGTCGCGCAGCGCGCGCTCGAACTTCTCCATCGCCTGTTCACAGCCGGAGGTGTGAAGAGACGCGGCTCACGCCCGCAGCGCCTGCTCGAACTTCTCCATCGCCTGTTCACAGCCGGAGGTGTGAAGAGACGCGGCTCACGCCCGCAGCGCCTGCTCGAACTTCTCCATCGCCTGTTCACAGCCGGAGGTGTGAAGAGACGCGGCTCACGCCCGCAGCGCCTGCTCGAGCGTCTCCATCGCCATGTACGCGGCGGCGCGGTTCGAGTAGAAGACGTGGTTCTCCGGGTCAAGTTCGATGGCCTGCAGGAAGGTTCCGAGAAGGTTCTGAGAAGGTTCGAGTAGAAGACGTGGCTCTCCGGGTCAAATTCGATGGCCGACGAGAGGTGCTGCTCCGCGCGCTTGAAGTTTTGGACGTTGAACGCCTCGATGGCGCGCTCCTGGGGGAAGAGGCACAGGAGAGGGTGAGAGGGGACGGAGGAAGAGAGTCCACAGCCAAGAGCAGCCACGGCGCGCTCCTTGAACTCGAGCGACTCCTCCTTGCGCTGCGCGATGGCGTCCATCACGAGCTGCAGCTCCTGTTGGTAATAATAATAATAATAATAATAATAATAATAATAATAATAATAATAATAATAATAATAATAATAATAAGTCCATCACGAGCTGCAGCTCCTGTTGACCATCAGTCACGGCTGTTAGCAAGACCATTCATCAGTGACAAGGAGGGAGATCACGGGCAGCAGCGCCTGCTTTGTGCAGCGGACGTACGTCGCGTTGTCGCGGTCGAGATCGAGGCCCTGCAAAGGGGCAATCGCTGCCGTGGTGGGTCGAAACAGCAGAGGGCAATCGCGAGTCTGACAAACGAGTGATGATATTGCTCTTCCGAGATACAGCCGAGGTGCGCGGCCCCGCCTGCTCGAAGGCGTCCCATATCTCCCCGCATCTCCCCACATCTCCCCACATCTCCCGGCATCTCCCCGCCTGCTCGAAGGCGTCCCATATCTCCCCACATCTCCCCACATCTCCCGGCATCTCCCGGCATCTCCCCGCCTGCTCGAAGGCGTCCCATATCTCCCCACATCTCCCCACATCTCCCCACATCTCCCGCCATCTCCCGGCATCTCCCCGCCTGCTCGAAGGCGTCCCACATCTCCCCACATCTCCCCACATCTCCCCACATCTCCCGGCATCTCCCCGCCTGCTCGAAAGCGTCCCACATCTCCCCACATCTCCCCACATCTCCCGGCATCTCCCCACATCTCCCCACATCTCCCGGCATCTCCCGGCATCTCCCGGCATCTCCCCGCCTGCTCGAAGGCGTCCCACATCTCCCCACATCTCCCCACATCTCCCCACATCTCCCGGCATCTCCCCGCCTGCTCGAAGGCGTCCCGCGCGCCCGCGAGCTTATCCATGCGGAAGAGTGCGGCGCCCTTGCGCGAGTACCCCTTGGCCCAGGTCGGCTGCAGCCGGATGCACTCCTCAGCGTCTGCCAGCGCCTTGTCGTACTGCTCGAGGGCCTGTTCACAGCTGCAGGTGTGAAGAGGCGCCGCCCGTGGGCGGCCGCCCCCGCCCGTCTCTTTGCCATGTACGCGGCGGCGCGGTTCGAGTAAAAGATGTGGTTCTCCGGGTCCAGCTTGATGGCCTTGCGCAGCAAGTCGACGGCGCCTAGAAAAAGAACTACGTCGATCAAAAAGAAAGCGTCCCGAGGGCCTTGCGCCGCAGCTCGACCGCGCCCTTGTAGTTTTGCTCGTTGAAGTACTCGATGGCGCGCTCCTTGCACTCGAGCGACTCGCGCTGCCGCGCCATCTTCTCGGCGATCGCATTCATCACCGCCTCCAGTTCCTTCTTGAGGGCCTGAGCAGACAAGGGGGGGAGAGGGAGTGAAGAGACGCCGTTCACACCTCGCCCCTCCACCAGCGGCCGAACCCGCTGTCCGCGGCAGTGGAGGGGAGAGCCTCTGTCGCCCGGGTCAAGCGTCGGCTGCAGCTCGGCTGCAGCTCGGCTGCAGCTCGGCTGCAGCTCGGCTGCAGCTCGGCTGCAGCTCGGCTGCACCTCGGCTGCACCTCGGCTGCACCTCGGCTGCACCTCGGCTGCACCTCGGCTGCACCTCGGCCGCACCTCGGCTGCACCTCGGCTGCCCCTCGGCTGCACCTCGGCTGCACCTCGGCTGCCCCTCGGCTGCACCTCGGCTGCACCTCGGCTGCACCTCGGCTGCACCTCGGCTGCACCTCGGCCGCACCTCGGCTGCACCTCGGCTGCACCTCGGCTGCCTCTCTGCCGCACCTCGGCTGCCCCTCGGCTGCACCTCGGCTGCCTCTCTGCTGCCTCTCTGCTGCCTCTCTGCTGCCTCTCAGCTGCCTCTCAGCTGCCTCTCTGCTGCCTCTCAGCTGCCTCTCTGCTGCCTCTCAGCTGCCTCTCAGCTGCCTCTCGCCTCGTTGCCCGGGTCGAGCTCGAGGCCCTCCTTGAGCACTGACTCCGACTTCTCGAGCCGGCCTGCAGCGGGGTGTGGAACGGCGACTCGCAATCACGCACTCCTCTCCGGCCGTGTCTCGAGCGGGGCACCCGTCCGGAAGGAGACGGAGCCGTGGTGTGAGGTGGTCGGGGCTGGTTTTGTTTGGCGCGGCGCGGCGTGGCGTGGCGTGGCGTGACATGACGCGGTGTGACGGACCCATCCGGAAGAAGACGGAGCCGCGACGCAGGTAGCCCTTCGCCCAGTTGGGCTGCAGCCGTATGCACTCGTCCGCGTCCTCCATCGCCTTTGTGTAGTCCTCGAGCGCGATGTGCGCGGTGCAGCGGTTCGAGTACAGCACGTGCGACCTAGCAGTCGCCGCGGAGGAAGTGTCGAGGAAGTGTCGAGGAAGGGGGCAGTCGGCCAGCAGAGCGGCGGCGACCTATTCCCCACGGTAGGACCGCGTCGCCCGACCGCCTCGCCGGCCCCGGCCTCGAGCAGCGGGGGCATGCGGCACTTTTCGTCGAGCGAGAGGGCGACCGTGAGGTGCTTGACGGCGCGCTCGTACAGCTCCGCCCGAAAGTCGTCGATGGCCACCTCTTTGAGCGTGTCCACCGCCGCCTATGGGACATGTCAGGGAGGTGTCGTGGACATGTCCACCTCTTTCAGCGTGTCCACCGCCGCCTTGATGGTCGACTCGGGGAAGAGGAGCATCTTCTCCGCGTCGTCCGCCTGTGAGCCGGAGGGAGGGAGGACCAGAGGTGACCCGAGGTGACCCGAGGTGACCGGAGGTGACCCGAGATGACCCGAGATGACCCGAGGTGACCCGAGGTGACCCGAGAGGACCCGAGAGTACCCGAGAGGACCCGAGGTGACCCGAGGTGACCCGAGAGTACCCGAGATGACCCGAGATGACCCGAGATGACCCTGCCCGTTTGAGAGCGCCAGCGAACCGAATCTCGGGTACTCTCGGGTACTCTCACGCAATCTCGGGTCATCTCGCCTGCCCGTTTGAGAGCGCCAGCGAGTCGAAGCCGCCGTACAGCGACTTGGGTAGCTCCGCCAGCAAGTCGCCCGCGTTCGGCACGATCGCCCCGCCGCCGCCCTGCGACTGCGCGCCCAGCCGCGCGCAGTAGAACCCGCCTCCAAACTTGAAGCACCTGCTCACAGCTAGAGGTGTGAAGAGACGCTGCTCCCCCGGCAGCGGACGCCCGCCTCCAAGCGTGAAGCACTCGTCGCTCGACTTAGCCGCGTCCCACATCGTCATCAGCGTCGCCTCCTGCACGCCCAGCACCTGTTCACAGCCTTCGAGCTGTGAAGAGACGCCGTGCACACCCCCGCGACCCGCCCCCGCCGCTGCGCTGCAGCGCACGTCCATCGCGTCCGCGGCGTTGTACACGACTCCCTGCGCCAGCGCCTGCGGCCACGTGAGCCCGAACTTTGCCGTGAACTCGGCCTGCTTGTGCTTGGGCGGGTGCAACTCCACGGGCTTGCTCAGCACGGCCTGCCGTCATCAAACAGCGGAATGTGTGAGTCGACGAATCAGCTCTCGCCGCAGCTCCGACAAGCTTGCGCGGCACGGCCTGTCATTCACAAGCAGCGGAGCTTCAGTCAGCGGAATGAACTCGCTGCGACCCAAACGGCGTGCGCAGCTCAGGCCTGCCATCAGCAAACAGCGGTCTGTGAATTGATGGACCCGCCGCAGCTCCGACAAGCTTGCGCAGCACGGCCTTGGATGCGATCGCGTAGTAGTGCTTGTCGACGAGCCTGCCCTGCGAGATCTCGTCCGCGGAGATCGACCTAATTAATCGATGATTAAATATTAATCAAGTCGACGAGCCTGCCCTCGGAGATCTCGTCCGCGGAGATCGACCCCTCCGCCACGACAGCGATGGAGCGGTCCCGCAGCAGCGACTTGACAAGCTTCTTGACGCCTAGTGCTGGGACGGAAGGCCCTCGGCAGCAGCGGAGGAGGCGGCGGCGGCGTGAGCAGCTTTGCTGGCGCCGTCAGTCACGGCGTGCGGCTTGATGAAGAGGAAAGCCTTGAGGAGTGGTGAGTCACTGCTGATTAGCTACTGAAGGCCGCGTGTGGAGAAGTGTGTGTGTGTGTGTGTGTGTGTGTGTGTGTGTGTGTGTGTGTGTGTGTGTGTGTGTGTGTGTGTGTGTGTGTGTGTGTGTGTGTGTGTGTGTGTGTGTGTGTGAGAGCAACGCCCGCCTGGTTGGTCGAGAAGTCGGGCGCGTCCTCAAACGGGTCTCCGCCCAGCTTTTGCGCCTTCTTGAGCATCGGGCCGATGGAGAGGTCCTCGAAGGCGTCAAAGACAGACACCTGCCCATCAATGACCAGCTGATTAACCAGGGGGCAACACAGACAGGTGCCTCGACGCCGTCAGTGACGGGCACCATGTTCCCGTCCCCCACGTCCACCTGCGGGTCCTTGGACCACTCGCCTAGGAGAGAAGGTTCGGAGAAGGTTCCGAGAAGGTTCCGAGAAGTGTCCACCTGCGGGTCCTTGGACCACTCGCCTATCGCCAGCCGCCGCCCCGCAGGTCAAGCCCACTCTCGAGCGCGCCCCATCTCCGCCTCGCCAGACGGCGCGCGAGGCCGCCCGCCGATCCCATGTGACATGTCCCGGAAGCGTCCGCCGAGGGCCAAAGGAAAGCGGTGCAGGGGCAGAGGGGGCGCGGGCACGGCTCGGGAGCGCTGCGTGCGTGTCGTGCGGTGGCGGCGCTGCACGGCTTGGCTGCGGCGAGGCGGCCTCCGCCACAGCGGCGGGAGGGTGGTGGTGGGGGGAGAGGGTCGCAGGGGCGGGTGGGGCTGCAGCGGCGGCGTGCAGGGGGCGGTGGGCCGAGCGCTCGCCGATTCGATCGCGGCTGACTCCGGCGGAGACGATGGCCCTGGCGGTCTCGTCGGTGTCGAGCGAGGCGCCCAGCCAGTTGAGCCGCTCGACCAGCGCCTCGAACGGGCTCGCCGAGCCGTGCACGCCGTTGTCGCCGACATCGGGCTTCGCGACGAGGCCGAGCGCCGCCCAGTCCTGCATGATCTGCCAGCGCATCGAGCCGACGCTGGCACGCTCCGGGTCGGTGGCGCCCAGCACCTCTCCTCGGAACTCGGCCCACGACATCAGCGACGAGTCCCACTCGACCGAGAAGTAGTACACGGAGGCGCCTGGCGCCGTGTACTTTCTCCGCATCGAGCTGTAAAAGCCGTTGATGACATAGATGTCGTCGGCGGGAGCCATGGCGGGCGCGGGGACGCCTGAGGCGGACGAGGGGCGGTCGGCTCGCCGTTTGCGGGCAGAGAGGGCAGAGGAATCTGACTCGCTTGAAAGCACCCTCGACGGCGGCGAATGGCGTCGGCGTGCAGATGGCAATTTAAAAATAATGGTCGTACAAAAGCGGCCAAAGGATATCCACCTCGAGAACCTCGAGAGAGTACACGGTCGACCCTTGTACGTGCCTGTCGGTGCTACTAGAATGTGGCACGGGCCTGTGAGATGTGCATGCACCCTCCGCTCCAAGTGCGACACGCTAAACCCCTGCGCTCCTTCGCGCCGCCTTCTCACACGCCTCGCGGAACGCCTCAGGCGTGCGCGAGGAGTAGGTCCACAGAAGTGACCGCGAGACGCCAAGCTCGTCGCACAGCGCCGCCCGCGGCTGCAGTCGGTCACTCAAGCTATAGCCCAGCATCACCGACTGCGTCACGAGCTTGTGTCTCAGCTCGTCGTCGGACAGGTTGGTCTCGCACTGAAGCCAGTCGATCTTTGGCAGCAGGTTCGCCTCGATGCTGTAGCCCAGCACCGGAGGCAGCCTCAGCACAACCTTCTTCAGCTCCGCCTCGCTCAAGCCCAGTCGCGACTGCAGCGCCGACAGCGACGGCAGCACGTTCTCCTCGATGCTGTAGCCCAGCACCGAAGGCAGCTGCAGCACCACCTTCTTGAGCTCCGCCTCGCTCAGCTGAAGCCGCGACTGCAGCGCCGACAGCGACGGCAGCACGTTCTCCTCGATGCTGTAGCCCAGCACCGAAGGCAGCTGCAGCACCACCTTCTTGAGCTCCGCCTCGCTCAGCTGAAGCCGTGACTGCAGCGCCGACAGCGATGGAAGCACATTCGCCTCGGTGCTGTAGCTCAGCACCTGAGGCCGCCCCAGCACCACCTTCTTCAGCTCCAGCTCGCTCAAGCCCAGTCGCGACTGCAGCGCCGACAGCGACGGCAGCACGTTCGCCACAATGCTGTAGCCCAGCACCGCAGGCAGACTCAGAACCACCTTCTTCAGCTCCGCCTCACTCAGACCCAGCCTCGACTGCAGCGTTGACAGCGACGGCAGCAGGTTCGCCTCGACGCTGTAGCCAAGCACCGAAGGCCGCCTCAGCACCAGCTTCTTCAGCTCCACCTCGCTCAGGCTCAGTCTTGACTGCAGTGCCGCCAGGGATGGAAGTACGTTCGCCACAATGCTGTAGCCCAGCACCGCAGGCAGACTCAGCACCAGCTTCTTCAGCTCCGCCTCGCTCAGGTCCAGCCGCTCCTGCAACGCAGCGAGCTTTGGTAACACGGTATCGTCGACACTCAAGCCCAGCACCGAAGGCAGCCTCAGCACCACCTTCTTGAGCTCCGCCTCGTTCAAGCCCAGCCTCGCCTCCAGCGCGTCGCACATCCGCTCCGCCCTCCATCTAGCTGGCTCGTTGAGCAGCCTCGCCTCCGCCTTCTCCGCCTCTGCAGCAGTGGCGCCCAGCCTCTGGACGCAGACGTCCGCGACAGCGCTGTACGCAGCTGCCACGGCGTGGCGTGGCACGAGCTCGGGCCGGAGCCGGCGTGCCGTGGCGATTAGCGTGCGCGGGGAGGCGGCCCACAAGCGAACCGCCATTTGTCAATCGCAAAAGAAATTTTACGGCACGACTACAAAACGAACCAACAGGTCCTCGGTCCCTACCTAGCGGGGAGCTGAACCCACCCCACACAGCCATCCCTACCGCACGCCGGGGCCTCCGCCCTTGTCCACTCGCCAGCGAGCCGTCGACGTACCTGCGCCCAGAGGATTGCGCTAAAGCCCACCCGACGCCGCAGCATGGAGGACATGGACCCGCCCGACCCGTCTGTCCAAGTGGTACGAAGTTTGCTCGCTTGCGCGGGCTGCTTTGTGCCAAGCAGCGCTTTTGCCACCAGCACCGCTGACTGGCAGCCCGAGCCCCAGCCTGCGGGCCAGGGCTCGGCTGGCGCGACTGCGCCACCCGGTCCACGCTCCGGCGCCACTGCGCCGGCCACGGTCGCCGGCACGGCCGACGACGGACCAACTGCTCTTTCCATTGTGCCAAGCAGCGACGCTGCTTTCCATGATGGAACAGGCAGATCTGCCGCTGCGCCGCGCGCCCGAGGCGCGCGGCGGAGCATGCACCCTCGCAACCCACCTGGCTGCTTGGGTGTGACGCCTCCCTCCAGGCCCGCCCGCCACGGCCCGCCCGCCATGGCCCCGTCCGGAGTGCCCTTTCCGAGAAAGTTCCTCACGGTGCTGCTCCTGCTGCACCCGCTCGCCTCCGCCGCCCTCCCAACTGCGCCACCGCCAGCCCACCCTTTCCTCCCCCCTCCCTCCAACGACTTGGCACCGCCTGCTGGCGCCTGCCTCCAGCAGCTCTCGGCTGCGAGCGGCGTGGCCACCGCCTCTGCTGCTCTCAAGCTCGCCTCTTGCAGGCCTCCAGGCAGGCCTCCCGGGGCGGCTCTCCCTGGCGCCCCTGCCACGACCGCCAACCCAGAGGATCTGTCCTCATCGCGCTTCTGCCCCTCTTGCCTACATGCACGCATCGACGTCGACCTTACCACCCCCGCCGACAGCGCTGTGCGAGACATCGCCAGTACGCTCACCAAAAGCAGCCGGAGGCCGCTGCATCGTCCGACTCTCACCTGGCCCCAGCCTGCCCTCGCTGCTGCGAGCGGCACCATGCGCCGCGCCCCCGCCGACCCCCGAGGTCACTACGACTGGAGCGCTGGCGAGCATGTGCAGAGGAAGCCGCCAACCGTGCCCTCGAGCAGTCCCTCGACAAACTCGCGTCTCAGCCCCGCCGGCCACAGCCGCGCCGCGAGCGGCCTGCTCGAGGGGACCCTGGCCACTGGGAGGGGATCATTGCCCACACGCTCTCGCATTTCCGCCAACGCCATCGCCCTGTCTCAGAGGCCACCGCCTCCGAGCTCCCCGCCGGCCCTTCTCTCGCGCGGCTGCCACCGCCACCGCGCGAGGCGAATGCCTCCCAGCTCCTACCGGCCGCAACCGGCCCGCCCTCCCGCCGCCGCCGCACCCAGATGCTGAAGCCTCTCGGGTGGCCCAGGAGGCCCGCACCGCCTCGCGCTCCCCTGCAGCGCCCCGACCCCTCCCTGACCGCCCCCGAAAGCGAAGCCCGCGCCCTGCGCGGCCACCCAACCGATTCTGACTCCGACCCCAGGGCCTAGGCGGCCCGCCATGAAATCTAGCCGTGTGTGCTGGCGTCCGGGTCCCAGCGGGTTTTCACGTAACAAGTACACACAGCTTGGTCGGCTCGAAGGCGCGAGAGACTCTCGCACGTCAATGCAGCTCCTCCGCTCAGTCCGCCCTCCGCTCGCGACCCGTCTCGCGCTGCAGCATGCGGCTCTGCTCGGCGGCATGAGCCACGAGTTTGCCGCTCTAGACGAGCCGGAGCTGCAGCAGTCTCTCCCACGACACTGTGCCACAATGAAGGCGTACCAGGCAGAGCTGCTGGCGTGTGGAGCCGCCAACAGCGCCGCGCTCGCCACGGTGTTTGGGCGTGCCGAGAATCACGGCGCCGACCGTCTCCGCTCCGTCGTGTGGCCGTGGCTCGAGCCGCTCGCCGGCACTGCTGAGGATGAGTACGAGCACCTCGGTGTGTGCCTCTCTGCTTCACCGGCTTCGTACCCGCTCCTACCACCGCACATCAGCCTCCGACCGCCTCTGGAGTACCTCGGACCGCCTACCTGACCTCTTGCACGACCTCCACCTCTCACCTCGCCGTCTCGCAGGCTCCGTCTGGAGGCACATGGCGAGGGACTGGACGGCGGGCGGGGCGGCGCAGACCGGGCATCTGCGCGCAGAGGTGCTGAGACTGCTGCGGGGTGAAGGACTGGCGAGCGGCGCAGGGGTCCCGCCTGGAGGGGAGGTGCTGGTGTTGGGCTGCGGCCAGGCGAGGGCGGGAGATACTTCCGAGACCCTCCCGAGACACTTCCGAGACATCTAGGTGTCAGTGCCGGGCTACGGTTACTCGGCAGCTCCTGAGACGCCTCCGTGCGTCCGCGGCCAGGCGAGGCTAGCGTGGACGATTGCGTCGGGGCTACCCGGCGCTCGCGTGACCGGCTCAGAGGCGTCTGAGGCGCAGCTTCGTGGTTAATTCGTTGAGTGAGTTGTCACTACTCCCCACACAGGCTTAGAGGCGTCTGAGGCGCAGCTTCGTGGTTCATTCGTTGAGTGAGTTGTCACTACTCCCCCCACAGGCTTAGAGGCGTCTGAGGCGCAGCTCTCCGCGGCGAACTTCTTCCTGCAGTGCGCCGAGGAAGAGCGCCTCGCCTTCCACCCCTTCCTGCACGAGATGAGTCAGCAACCACTGCGCGTCACCATCGGATAGGAAGAGCGCCTAGGCTGCAGCGGCCTTCGAGATAAATGAGTCCAGTCTCCATCTGCCGGGAGAAGAAGTTGGCGCCGAGCGTCGCGCCCTCAGTCCAGGATACCGTCGCCGTCGCCGTCGAGGGGTGATAGAGGCGGTGGCGACGGCCGGGGCAGTTGGGGCGGGTGGGGATGCGACGAATCTGGCGGCGGCGGCGGCCGCCGCCGCGGCGGCGGCGGCGGCGATGGCGACATCGGCGGCGGCTTTGGCTCTAGCTCTGGCGACGGCGGCAGCGGCTGGGGTGCTGGCGGCGGCTTCTTGGGTGGTGATGCCGCGCCCTGCCCCGCCCAGGCGCACCTCTCGCTGTTTGACTTTCCGCAGAACGCGTGGGGCGGACAGTGCTCAGTGGAGATAAGGGAGCATATGGCGGCAGCCACTTTGGTCCCCTTTCACACAGCACACAGTGTGTGGCGCGCCGCGTTCTTCGCAGAGCCAGCCCATGAAGAGCGTTGGTGTGACATCTTCGCGGCGGCAGTCTCCGCCGTGCTCCAACATGTACTGCCGGGCGAGTTTGTTCATCTTAGCAGCCTCCTCTCGCCGGTCCAGCGACACTTGCTCCGGGATGGGGCAGAATGAAGCCACCCTTCCCGTGCTCCGCTTGGGGCCGAGGCATCGCTCGTTCAGACGCCCCGCTTGGTAGGCAGCCGCATTCCTCTTGCGAATAATGCTCCCTCGGACGACCGCGTGCTCCGCCATCAGCGTCGCACCCGACGTCTCCTGCGCCGACATTGCGGGATCCGCATCGAGAACGCCGACCCCCCACCCCACCCCCACCCGCATTGCGCCCACCGCCCGCCGCACAACACGCAACACACAACGCACAACACCCCCCCCCCCCGCACACCGCACACCACCACAACACACAACACACAACAAGTCCTCGTCTTTTCTCCTGTTCTATCTCTTAAGTGCCGGCCAGAAGATCCGCCCTGGGATCTTCGGCGCAGGGCGCCGTCACCGGCCCCATGAGCCGCCTGCGAGGCCATTCAGTGCTCATGTGGCACGGCCTGAGCAGGCCTAGCAATGCCTCGGGCCGACCGGCGCCCAGAATTGTTGGTGCTGGCCAGCAACGTGGCCGGCGAGTGCCGTCGTTGCATTGGTGGCGACCACCGCAGAAGCGGTCAGCAGGTGGGAAGGCATCGCTCTCTTTGTAAGGATATTGTCCGTATTCATTGTCTGGTCAATACTTCTGCCTGGATGGCACCTGTGTGCCCAACATGGCGACCCTCGGCCTCCCTCGTGAGTCCACCTCACGCTGATCATTCTCGTCGCTAGCTCAAGCCGAGAAGTGGTCCGCCGACACCAGGAGGAGCGCAACCATCATGGCTGCAGCCTCAGACTGACCGGGTTAGGTCATATCACCGGCGTGGTGGCCCAGAAGTGCGACATTTGCTGCCCGCAGAGCGCTAGCAGCCCACTAGCCGGCACGTCTGTGCGTCGTGCGGGGCTGAACTTCACAGGCACGCTGCACGCGGCTTATCGTCGAGAAGAGCTCAACCCCGGCCAGTGAGTGATGGATCTGATCATAATCAATCCCTACTGTGCTGGGGGGCTCACAGATCAGCCGTTCAGAGCTCTGATATTGGTTCCCGGCAGAAGATCCTCTAGAGGATCTTCTGCGTCGGCCAAAAAACCGTGTTCAAACGAGACACAATGACCCAACAATGACCCCCACGGCAAGCCTGGACATGCAGCCGACCCGGCCTGGCCAGCTGGGCCATCGGGGCGGCCGCCATCGGCCGTAGGACCGCGCTGCGGTGCCGAAAGGGGCTGGAAGATCCGCCCTGGGATCTTCGGCACTTAAGAGCTGAACATACATTCTTTTTCGCACGATGTCTGCCCCGCCGCGCCGCTCGCGCCGCTTGCGCCGCCTCGCCCCCGCCGCCACTGCCGCCCCCTCGCCAGACACGCCGCCGCCCGCCCGCCTCCTCGACCTCCCCACGGAGCTCCTCGAGCGCGTCCTCTCTCGCTGCGACCCCGCCGACATCGCTCGCGTCGCGGCCGTCTCGCTCCTTTTCCACGCCTCGCTTGCGGTGGAGGCCATCCGCTTGCGGGCGCTCTGCCGGCGCTGCCAGAGGGCGAGAGCTGCGCCGTGCGGTGGCTGTGCTTTATGGCGCTGCTGCGCGAGTCCAACCCGCCGGCGAGGGCGGCGGCAGGCATGCAGCACAGCCTCTTCATCGACGGCGAGGGGCGGCTCTCGTCGTGTGGCTCAGCAGCGGACGGCGAGGAGGACGACACGGTGGACTTTCCAGGCCTTCTCGGTCACGGCGAGGGCGTGCTGCGGCTCAACACGCCGACCCGCCTCCCGCCGACGCTGGGTGGCGAGCGCGCCGTGAGCGTGTCGGCTGGAGGAAACCACAGCCTCGCCCTCACCGCCGGCGGTGCTGTTTGGAGCTGGGGCGAGGGAGAACACGGCCAGTTGGGCCACGGCGACGCGCAGACCCAATGGCAGCCGAAGAAGGTCGAAGCTTTTGATGGCCAGCGTGTCCTCGCTGTGGTGGCGGGAGGCGTGTCGGCCAATGGCGGATTTTTTTCCAGCCTCGCCCTCACCGCCGACGGCGCCCTCTGGAGCTGGGGCAGTGGAGCCTCTGGCAAGCTGGGCCACGGCGACGAGCAGGACCAGCTGCTGCCCAAGAAGGTCGAGGCCTTTGCTGGGCGGCACGTCATCGCCGTGGCGGCTGGAGACGACCACAGCCTCGCCATTACCTTTGACGGAGCTGTCTGGAGCTGGGGCTATGGAGGTGGAGCCACTGGCATGCTGGGCCACGGCGACTACCAGAACCAGCTGCTGCCCACGAAGGTCGAGGCCTTGGCTGCCCAGCGCGTCATCGCTGTGTCGGCTGGGTGCAACCACAACCTCGCCATCACCGCCGATGGCGCCGTCTGGAGCTGGGGCAGTGGACTCTTTGGCCAGCTGGGCCACGGCGACCAGCAGTCCCAGCTGCTGCCCAAGAAGGTTGAGGCCTTGGCCGGGCGGCGCGTCATCGCTGTGTCGGCTGGGAGCGGCCACAGCATCGCCATCACCGCCGACGGCAGTGTTTGGAGCTGGGGCTTTGGAGCCTTTGGCAAGCTGGGCCACGGCGACCGGCAGGACCAGCTGCTGCCGCAGAAGGTCGAGGCCTTCGCTGGCCAGCGCATCGTCGCCGTGTCGGCTGGAGTCGCGCACAGCCTTGCCATAATCGCCGACGGTGCCGTCTTCACCTGGGGCGAGGGCGAGTACCGCTGCCTAGGCCACGGAGAGGACTTGTCGAACCAGCTGCTGCCCAAGAGGGTCGAGGCGTGGGCTCAGTGAGAAGGTCGGGGCTCTGGCGCCGCTGGTGTGCCCGGAGACATGTAGCATGCAGCACACAGTCTGCATAGAGAGCATCTGCACCATACAGACCCTCTCTGCACACACAGTGCACTCTTGGGTGGGATTGTGTATTCCGCACCTGCATTGTGCATTCCGTACCACTCTTTTTTTGGCCCCTCCTACCTATTTGGGGGGCGGGTTTTTGCATTCTGCACCTGCATCCTGCATCGGTACTCTGTCCGCTCTCTCCTGGCTGTGGGTGAGTTTTTGGATTCTGCATTCCTGCATCCGCTGCAGGTGCAGCTGCACACGTCCTGCACGTCTCTCACAGACTGTAGCTCTTTGGGCCCGCACGGCTTCTGCATTCTGCATTCTGCATCTGCATTCTGCATCGGGTGCAGCTCACAGCTTTGGGGCCGATTCTGCATTCTGCATTCTGCATCTGCATCCTGCGCATCGGGTGCAGACTGTGCAGTGGTGCGGAGACCGGAGTGCTTTTTGCGGGGCCAGAGATTCTAAAGGCGGTAAGGTAAACGTCTCCACACACACAAAGTGGTGGGGCAAGGGGGGGCGACCCTCGCATCTCCACGCCCGGACAACGGGCAGGAGCCCCACGGAATAAAAATGACAGATGCGAGATCACTCGAGATCACTCGAGATCCTCAGCACCTCAGGGCCGACGTCTGGCGCCCGGCGCAGCACATACACACAAGAGGCCCGCCGAACAGATCGACTGACAGATGGTCACATGCACGTAAAGACCGCCGTTCGTGAATGGAGAGGTCCCGTCGTCTCCCCACCTCGCTCGCTTGCGGCTCGGGAGCGAGCATACTTGCTCGCCCTCCTCTCCCTCTCCCTCTCCCCTCTCTGCGCCCTCAGGACGCTCATGGAAGAGGACACAAGCTGGCGCCAGCACCACCAAACGTGGCTGGCTGCCCCACGTGGACAGACACCGCGCCTTCCGCCTCTCTACTTGCCCTTCTTTTGCTCCGGCGGCTTCGAGATGCGCTCGCGCGCGCGCTTCTCCCAGACGGGGGTCGCGTCACGCGGCTTGCGGGTCACCTGCGCGTGAGAGGGGCGCGTGGGCCGAGGAGGGGGGGGGGGGGGGGGGGGGGGGGGGGGGGTAACCGAAAAAAAAAAAGGGCGGGAAAAACCCGAAGTTCCCCCCCCCCCGGGGATTTTAAATTTTAAAAAATTCGGGGGGGCG